TATTGAATAGGTCTTCTTTTAAGATCATTTATTTGTTCTTGAGTATTTATCATTTCTAAGTGCATCATCTTTGGAGCATGTTTCAAATTCAGAGTTCTTTCAAAAGTTTCAAAATTACTTTTTCAACTTGTACTCAAATTAATTATTTTATGGCAGATTTATTTATATTTATTTTGAGATTTCATATAAATTTGAAAATTTCCAACTATTCAAATAATGTCTTCTTGCATTAACACTAACGTGATGCCATCAGTGGGGATGAAAGTTTTTGAAACTGAAACAAAATAAATGTTTAAAAAGTTATATACGATATGTATGTACGTACATATGTATTCTGAAACACTTATCACAACATATTTTCAAACTAAAATTTACAGCTTAAGATCAAAGTCATAAAGTGTACTTTTCCATTTATTTTAAACCCAAACTGAACTGACATGAGATAAGAGTAATGTTTGTATGTACGCCCGTGTGTGAATCAAACCAAAATGAGGTTAGAAAAAGTTTAGTGCAGGTAAGGTTAGCTACTGATAAGCTTAAGTGAAAATGAAATAATGCTGGTGTGAGCCAGAGTTGGTCTGTTAACAAAAAAAAAAAAAAAAAAAAAAAAAAAAAAAAAAAAAAAAAAAACAAAAACAATGCTGACCTTGGTGCCTTCGTGTGTTTATGAGTATTTTTACGGTAGATAATTTGATGAGAGAGCAAGCACTCGCAGGTAATCCGCTTAAATAGCAGCTGAGGAAACTTTTGTTGAAAATGGCAACAACAACCAACAACAGTGGTAACAGCATCTCCCTCAGCTTATGGTACACCAATGGACAGTTAAAAAAGTTTCAATTTAAGTAAAATATTTATAATTAAAACTGTATTTTTTTTTAATACATACATATATTTAATAAGGTCAGTGGATATAACGCTTGCAGAGCACAGCTGTTGCAAAAAATTTGAGAATTTAATTTGAGAACGGAGGAAAAAGAGAATCTGGTAGAAATCATACTTTTTGATACCTAAATTATTGATGCGAGCATACACATATATGTTTATTATATCAAAAATGTCGGTAGAAGCCTAAAACATCATCTTATATAAACTTCGCGCTGAATAGAAATCAAATTTCAACAAATCCACCAAGCAAACTGTGATACAGAATATGGTAATTCGCTGAAATAGAGTATAGAGTCCGTATCACAGTTTGCATGGTGGATTTGTGAGACATCAGCACTACCACAGTTGCTCTTAAATATAATACAATAACAGGGCTCGACTCCTGGTTTAAAAAAAAAACCAACTCTTCTTTCAATTGAGGTTCCCACTTGACAACAGAGATATTCTGATATGAAATGGAATCGTTCGGAGGCCCCTGAGAATAAACAGATTCTACTCGCTATTTTCAAACTACTCTTTAAAGAATTTAACAATGAACAGGGATTTAGACAAGAACATGACGGAAATGTACGCAGAGGAATGGGAAAAGTTAAAGTGAAAGAACATCTTTATTGCTATATAATAAAAATAATTCAGACAAGCCACTCTCAGGACGGGAATGACGAAGGACCTATACAGCGTGGTCTTTGTGCATCGCGAGAGTAGGCGAACTTATCTGCGATCTTGAAGTTATGGCAGTCAATGGTAACGTGGGGAACGAGTGGAGAAAGCGATGATTGTTTGCCAAAGAGATGATATGGGTGGGGATCACGGGTTAGATCCAAAACTTGGCGCATTTATGAATATTTGCTCAATGTGGGCTTATCAGGTCTGAACCCGTACTGATTGACAGTAGTCGTTAATCTTTCACGCGTTCTACACTTCATGAGCGATATTCAGATGATGTTTTTCCCATGGTAATCGGTGCACACTGTGGGATCCCTTTTTTGTGGATTAGGTCGTATTTGAATAGCTCGGCCGGAACCTACTCGGCTCCCGTCCCATAGTCCGAAGAGACTACACAGATGCCAAAAATAATTTCTGATTCATATCAACGACTTCCTCAAAGGCTTCGTAGTGTTGTATATATACAGCTCTTTGCCTACATTGTCTTGTAGAGCACTACTCTTTGTCCAGGAAGTGGAGATGGGACCGATCTAGTCGAAAAAATTTCATTTATCGTTTGATTTACAAATACTTTGGTAAATAGGTGAGAGACCTAAATTCACGACTGGAACACTTTTACTTCCGGTAGGTGAGCCTGGAATCTATACGATGCTCCAATATGGCTTAATATGTGAAACATAGATGGCTCTTTGCCTTTGTCAATGAAGATGGAGAATTTTTTTTTCGTCACTGATCGAAAGAATCGTATTTATGGCATGATTTTCTTGAGTTTTGAAATATAGAAATATAAGTTATAATAAATCATCTGGAAATTCCAAGCTGACGAAGTCCTGCCCAAACTCTAGTTATAAAATACAATAAGTCGAAGGTTTGAACCGGAGACTCCGAATGGAAAAACTCACGTAATTCAATAATTATTTCAACCATTTTTCACCTTGTAATTATTTCTCGTTGCTCATTTATACGCAGAAACGCTCACCAAAGTTACCAAACCACGAAAACTCTTACAATCTTTTATTTCATTATTTTTTTAATAAAAAATTCGTCTAATTATTACGCAGCAAAACCGCCAACGATTTCGTTTTAGTTAATCGTTGTATTTACGCTCCTCTATACCTACGTACCTTTTCAACAACCGGGCAACGCACACACCTGTGCTCCACTGGCGGTGCCCTTTAAATGACTTGCTCAAGCGTAAATTGCGTGGCGCGCCGCTTTAGTTGGTAATTTGTACAGTTGATTTTATTGTGGAGAGTTACATACACCTATACACACACATAGGGGGGTTGTGAATGAATGCGCATACATACTACCACTTGCCCATTTATGTATTGCCGTCGGTTGCTCAACTTACACGCGCGTAAGTAATAATTTGTTAAATAATTTGTGACGTGTATACGTCAGGGCGTACAACGGCTCTGCTGTTACAATGCGTACAAATGAGCTGACAGGCAGACAGACAGACCGACAGACGTACTTACTACGAGGCAGTCAGGGATTCAAGCAAAGTGTGTGAGCTGCAAAGCACTTGGTGGTCACAGGCAACGAAAATTCTCAGCTGCTTACATTGGATGTTGGTTTTTTATTATATTTTATTTTATGCTTTCTTCGATTTCATTCAGGTAATTTGGATGTAAAAGTTGTTCCACGGTGTGGTAGGCCGTCAGCAATTGCATCGCCTGAGGAAAGAAATAGCCCAGTAGCGCTCAGCTTTTTCCAACAGGAGGGAACAGTGTTTCGTCAGGACAATGTCAGCCCACACACTCATCGTTACTGACTCGCCAGAAGCCCTTAGAGCTTGGTTGAGCGGTTCTTATGCAACCATCTGATAGCAAGCATCTCGCATCAAGTGATACTGTCTATGGGAAATAATTTGGCTGGTGAAGACTTGGCCTCAAGAGAAGCCTCTGAAAATCGATTGCTCCAAACTTTTGCCAATAGGAACAAGGATATTCCATGAGAGGGGCACAATGACGATACTTTCAAAAAGTTGTCGAGCAAAACGTTGCATACTTGGCATATATTGAATAATAATATGAAATGGGAAATTAAACTTTTAATTTTATGTACTAAACCTATTAGCAGGAATTTTATATTTCAAGGCAATTCCGTGCCATTTTTGCTGTCAGCCTGGTTGTTTGTTATATGCAAGTAAATATTTTTCAAAATATTTTTATATTTTGATTACCTATTACTTTTTCCTTATGGAAGATTGTTTGCGTCGCTGTCGATTGTCTCTGGTTACCGTCATGTGGTATTGACTTTAATGGCTCTTCAATTAAATACGACCAACTTATGCATATAAAATATAAAATCTTCTAACTTTTTAAATAATTTTCAATATATTGATTACTTCAGCTGTGTGGTTTATATAAATAGACGTCGGTATCACTTACAGGCAGGCATATTCCCTTCTGATTAACATAGCAATGTTGCCTATTTTCTTGTGAAAACTTTCATTTTTAATAATTTAAACGAGCAGCGTTGCCAATTTTACATATGGGTTGCCAAGCAATGTTGCCTATTTTGAAAAGAGACAAATAATAATTTGCTTACTTTATGTGAGCCGCTGTCGCTTACAGTGTGCATAAAAATTTTGCCAGTTTTCTCTGTGAATTTTTTTAATTTATCATCTCATATTTCCCATTCTATGAGTACCTCCAACGTTGCTAAATTTCCTTAAGAAAATTTAATTATTTTCTGTAAGAGCAGAATAGAATTGTACGAGTATCCAAGCAATGTTGCCGGTTTTCCTGATACTTTACTTTACTTCGTGTTGGTCCTTGACCACTTCGTTTTATTTTTTCACGATTGATAATACTTTGCTTTTAGCAGTTTTTTTTTCAAAAACATTTGTTGACTTGCTATGTTGCCTATTTTCCTAGTAAGTAACAATAATTTTTTTAGTATGCTGCCCTTATTTTTTCATCCATTTCGCTTATTTTTTACTTTTAGTTGAATTTTTTAAAGAGTTGAAATCAAATAAGTTGTCATTTTTTCTTTTTTTTCCACTAAGTTGTCCAATCCAATTGTGACAATATTGCTAACTGTACATTAAATAAGTGGCTGCTCATATCGTAGTTTTATTCTATACCATGTAGAAGGCATTCGCCTTAATTTAACCGGTCTCACATTACAACGTTGCCAGTTTTCCTTAAGCTTTTTTCACTGAATCACATCAAATGATGGTACCTCTTTTGCTAATTTCTCGTTTAATGTTTGTCTGCTAATACTTTGTAATGCAACGTTGCCAATCTTCACTTTACGAAAATAGCATTTAATAAAGAATTAATGTCCCTTATTAGATGGGGATTAGGGAAGGAAAGTTGGAGAATGTTTTTCTTAGACAAAAATAAATGCAGTCTACATCTGCCTGTTATTTAATATACAAATTAAATAAATTAATATAATAAGTTATTCACTTAATTCTCACTTTGAAATTTTTACAGAGTCTCTTCGAACTCGAGCTTGCCGGCTGCAATGAAGTTACCGAAGCTGGCCTGTGGGCTTGTCTAACGCCGCGCATTGTTTCACTCTCGCTCGCAGATTGCATTAATATAGCCGATGAGGCTGTAGGTGCGGTAGCGCAATTATTACCATCGTTATATGAATTTTCGCTGCAGGTGAGTAGATTCAAAAGAGAAATATAAAAAAATTTTAAACTTTTAAGAACAATAGAAAATGTGAATAATTGAAAAGAAAATAAAAATTAAAAACAAAATTATTTTTTTTTACACAAATCATAATTTTCTCTTTCATTTATCTACCTCCAAATAGGCTTATCATGTCACAGATGCTGCTTTAGGCTATTTCTCGCCGAAACAAAGTCATAGTCTGAGCATACTACGCCTGCAATCGTGTTGGGAATTAACCAATCACGGCATCGTTAATATCGGTAAGTGAAAATTTTATCAAATTTTATGCAGAAAAAAATGGAACTCAAATTGACCGCGAAGAGTGAGAGTGAAACAGTAAAAGTTTTCTCACTACAGGGTATCTACTATGCAAAATTTTACGAAATCTGAAAAGAATAAAATTTGTTCATTTATAAATGCATTAAAATTTAAAATGTTTAAGAAATGTGTCACCTTGCTCTATCTTCGACTTACCAGTAATATGGTCTAAGGTCGTTCTATAAAATCGCCCGTCGGAAAACGTGCCACAAATTTGTTTTCTATGCAAATGCAGTTCTGCAACAAATCAGGGTCAAGTTTTGTATATATATATATATATATATATTCATTGAGACAAACTTTTTATATTGAATTTAATTTGAAACAGAAGCCAAGTTTTATAAAAAATTAAAAAAAAAACGTAAACAAAAAATATGTATATTTCTTCAGCTTCTTCTTATTCTCCTCCATCTTGATTATTTCACTCACTCAACGAAATTAAGTAAGCAATTTAATCTGCAAAGAAACAAGTTACAAGTTTTCATGCATGCCAAGGCAATATAAAGTTAGTCAAAATATTGTATATATGTATGTTATTAGTATTTTGCAGAAATCTATAGACGAGCACCTACAGTCCTGCCTAACACTTGACTTTGGCAAAGTGAAGAAGTGAAATGCGCTTTCAACTTATATAGCACATACACGTAAACACATATACATGCAAAATGTTCGAAAAGTTGCAAAAGCGTTGCAGGCAGCTGGAGATTAAGAAACAGCAACTGGAATAACGTACTAGTGAAATGGTGCAATTCAAAAATACATCCATATGCATGTTTGTGGGAATACAAATATTTTGGGGATTACATGATGCCGTTAGCAGCAGTTGATGATGAGGCATAATATAGCTAGGGAAAACATACCAATATTCCAACAGTGACTTACAGTGTGGTTTCTAACGACTTTAATCAGTGTATTAGTACTCAGCGCGACTCTATATATGCGGGCGTAAGGCGATTATTGAGTCATAAATGATTCAGAACTCATTTTGTTTACTTATTTTCGGTTCTGAAAATTTATTTAAATTAAACTCAAATACTAGCTGAGTCTAAGAATAAATCAAGAATGCCTCATTTGTGGCTCGGTATTGAATCATAAATGACTCATTAAAACTTACATTGAGTCATAAATGATTCAAAACTCATTTTGTATACTTATTTTCGGTTCTGAAAATATATTTAATTAAATTCAAATATTCGCTGAGTCTAAATTTAATCAAGAATGCCTCATTTGTTTCTTGGTTTTGAATCATAAATTACTCATTTAAAAACTTACATTGAGTCATAAATGATTCAAAACTCTATTTATTTACTTATTTTCAGTTCTGAAAATTTATTTAAATTAAACTCAAATAATAGCTGGGTCTAACAATGAATCATGAATGACTCATGTGTGGCTTGGTATTGAATCATAAATGATTCATTTCAATTTTGAATTGCAAAGCTCGTTTTGTTTACTTACTTTTTAGTTCTGCCCATGAATCATTCACAAGTAAGTATACATTGCGTCATAAATGATTCATTTGTGACTTTAATATTCCTTCATAAATTCGCTATAGAGTGTATCGTTAATGATGAGGCATAAAGTTACAAACGAAAACATATCTACATCTCAAAAGTCACTTACAACTTTAAATCGTTTTACTAAATCAGAGTAGTTGTACTCACTATGACTTAAAATCGGTGGGCGCCAAGTAGATGACTTTTTTTAATCACTTAAATTAAACTTGTTTTGATTAAACTCATATACTAGCTGAGTCTAACAATGAACCATGTATGACTCATTTGTGACTTGGTTTTAAGTAATGAATTATTCATCTGCGTCTTTCGCTGACAAAATTATTTTGTGTACTTACCTTTTAGTTTTGGCAATGAGTCGAAATAACTCAATTGGGAGTAGATTTTTGAGTCATGAGTGATTCATTTGTGACTTAATTATGACTCATAATAAATTATTTGAGATTTGAACTATAAGACATGTTTTGACAACTTTATAACTAATTCTTACAATGAATCATAAATGACTCATTTACACACTTATACTGCAGGACTCACTATGAATAGTTACTTTTTAGTTCTAAAAGACAATATGCACTACTTTTTTACTATACACATTGTCGTAGATTTAGCAAGCATTTTTAACTAAAATTTGGTTCATGCCAGAAATTATTTTATTATTTATGATTTATCAAAGTATCTGATAAGGGTATATATACGAGGCTAACTGTGAATCATGCGTGACTTATTTGAATATTTTCATTGATTCATAAAGGTTTAAATTGAAACTTGTTTTACAAGACTCACTGTAAATACTTTCTTTTAGTTTTTACAATGAAACAGAAATGGCTCATTTGAAACTTGAAATAAGTCGTAGACACTCATTTGAGACTTGGAATTGATTCTCAACTGATTCGTTAATTCAGAGAGTGAACCGAAAATGGCACACTTGGGACCAGTGTTACAAGAATAAATTTAAGTACTTCCTTTTTAGTTCTCTGAAACCATTTAGCTTCCGAAAATATATATTTGACTCTACTTGCTCTTTTTTCGCAATTCATCTTTGACTTTAATATAACTCATATTCCAAATTTTATGAAGCCAACCCTAAAGAAATCTTTGAATAAAATGTCCTACCCAAAACTTTTCTTTCTAACCAACAATTTCATACCCCTCCAGGGACGAGTTCTACGGTGTCGTGTTGATATTTTCGGAGATAGCATATTTATTGGGCATAAAGAAATGGCTCACAGGTACACTCACACTCACACATGTACGTACCATTCACGGATATTATAAATTTATAAAAGTTGCTGCAAATGCTGCATTTCCCAGATGCAATGCCTCAGCGAACACAAACGCTGAAACGATTTCGTATAAAATTTTGTTTGAAAAAGAAAAAAAATATACATATATATATATATCGTCTTCTACGTGCAAGAAATACAAAGTGGGCAACTCAAAATGGTAGAAATGCTGCGCTTTTGGCAGTTACAAAATACCATCGAATGGCAGGAAATGCATATAAAAAAACGCTTATTGGACCAACTAGTAAAACTATGCAGTTAACTGACTACTGGGGAGCACTTAACGGTATGCACTTACACATACATACATATACATTGGCATGCGAAGTCTCTGCATACATACAGCCTGAGCGCTGAAAGATTAAGAACTCTTAACGGTCTTGCAGTTTCGTTGCATTTCGCTTAAATATGCGCGTATATAAATATGTATGTATGTATGCCAGTGTGTAGGTTTGTCTATCAAAATTTTCATTTTCAATTTCTGTTTTAGCGATAACTTTTAATTTGAGTGGAATTATTCCAAATCCTGAGTCGTTCATTTCATGTCAGACTGTCGAAACTTTGGGCTGCAAATATTGGTGAAAATTAATAATGAAAAAGTGGAGGAGGAACTGCACACACTCATACAGTGAAATGAACATGCCGTGGGTAAACATTGGGCGAACTCATTTTGTGTGGTAAATAATTAAGGTTTCGGTGGAGTTTTTGTTATTTTGTAAATATTGGATTCTGAGCTTTTCTTCCCATTATAGCCGAGTTAACAATAACTCGCCATTTCTTTCTTTCATTCGCTGTGTGATGCCAATTGGAAAAACAAAATACAGCCAGGTTTTTCTTCATAAGTACGTTGTTTCCATTGAAAAATTTCAAGGCTTAAATATTCTTCTCCATCCGAGCCCCATGATGCGCTGAACTATGTCAGTGTCCCCGTATATCTATGTAGCTTATCATTACATCGGCAGCGGAATTCGCCGTTTCCAGCGCACAGAGGAAAATAAATCTTGCCCAAACGTTTTTCTCGAAACGTCCGATGGATACTCATCAAATATTGTCAATGCCTTCGTCTTTGCATCGTATATCAGGTCCTTGTTCATCGAGAGCGGACTTTACTTTTCAAATGCCTACTCAGCTCAAAGTAGTAACAGCTGGCGAGAGTTATTCGGCGTTGAATTTAAAGGCAGACATTGCTTGTTTCAAGATAGACACAACCATCTAAGACTTCATAGGCCTTAGGTTACCGAAAAAGTGGCAACCTTTGGCTAAATGAAATCTCGGTCAACCCGGGCTCAGATACTCCAACGTGTAGTATTGTCTCTAGAAGACGATATCAGTCGCAGGGATACTACCCATTTTTGGCATGACAGCATCCAAATAAATGACTAAACATTCTGGAGCCTGAACAACGATATCGTCGTCTGGTAAGCAGCAACTAACTAACTGTCCCGATCGACAGGTCGTACGACTTCATTATCGCGGTCTACCGGTCATACATATAATTTTTACAAAACTAATTCGTTCGGCTTCCGCATGTTTCTCATTCACACGAAGGTAATTTCTTTCAAATATTATCCCGGCCAAATAATCACGATGTTGTTGTTCTTGAAAAGGGTATCCGAGAGGACCAGATGTAAAGGGTGATTAAATAAGTAGGGGCAAGTAAAAACGTTGGGTATATCGAGTTATGCTTAGATATATAGGAATTAAGTCGACTCATGTCACGATCTCTGCTGTCCGCTACTGTCATCGAAGTTAACTAAGGGGGGGGGGGTCCAAGAACAAGTTGTATCGTTGCTGCATATGGGTCGGCCTTATTGTGAAAGTCCACTCAAAGTTTCCAACTGATGCGGCAGATTTTACATTAAGATCACACCGTCCACATCGAGCCAATCTGAGTTTCTGATCACTCAGATCTGTGCCAAACGCTATGATCGGGTGAAAATTTCATAGAGCGTCCACGCCTCGTCGAACCGAAGCATGCGCGTGCTCCTTAAACAACTTTTCACTGAACCTCAACTGGCTCCACAGGCAGTAGTCTAACTCACCAAAGTACTTAACCTGTATTTGACCCAAGAACGAGCATATGGAACAGGAAAATCTGTTGAGACTTGCTACCATAGGATGTAGTATTTGAAGACCCAGTGC